GAGAGGTTGTGGAGTCTCCTTCTCTGGAGATCTTTCAAAACCTGCCTGATGCCACCCTGTGCCATGTGCCCTAGGTGTCCCTGCTGGAGCAGGGGGGGTTGGACTGGATAATCTCCAGGGATCCCTTCCAACCTCAACCAGTCTGTGATTCTGTAATCTCAAGTTCTTTCACTAATGGTCAGTTGCCTGACCTCATTTAAATTTTATTACTTTTTATTATTTTATTAAAATACATCTGAATCTCTCTTGCTGTTTTCCCGTGGCTTCTGATGTTCTTATCCATAATGGCCAATTTCAAGACAAGTATTGAAAGGTTAAATGAGTTGACAGCTGTTTCTGAATACTTAATGCAGGACTAGAACGCTTAATATCTTTACTAGTAATTTCTTAAGTGATAACAATAATGGAGTTGTAGTTGTTTTCTCATTTAAACGATGAGCAGTGTAGGGTAGAATTCTAACACTTGGAAGGCTTCAGGTCTTTTGAATTTTCCGTACTTTATATGCAGAATTCTGCTTATTTTTAATAATGTATTGAGTTGCCTGATTTTTTTTTTTTAAGAATACGCCCAACTGTTTGCAGCATTGATAGCACGAACTGCAAAAGATATTGATGTCCTGATTGATTCCTTACCTAGTGAGGAATCGACAGCCGCTTTGCAGGTAAGAGAATTCTTAATTAAACTGTGAAATCGTAACTGAAGACAGCTTTCTTGCTTGCTTTCTTTAGACATATTTTCTTTCTCTTTAGGTCTTGTAATCTTGAAAAATGGCTTCAATATAAGCCTGAATTTTTCATGGGATTAGCCTATGAATTCTTTATAGCCTCATTGGAAATCCTCCTTCTGCATCTAGATACAAAATAATTTATGCACAGTGAGAGTATTTTGAACTTATTTTTCTCCTAGCAGTGTTTCAAAAATTTTTCTTTTATGATAACATAACATTAATGGGAACTGCTGCATGTTTTTTCCAGGTGTTTGAACACTGATACAACAGATGCAGTGGCACTGATGCACTGGCTTTTTTTCTTGGATAGCCTTTCATATTCTCCTGCTGATCGCATGTTTTATTTTGTATCTGCAGAGCCAATGTTCTACTGATACCTTTTGCTCTCCTACAGTGTTCTTGGTTATTGAAGGCTTTGCAGTATGCATTAAATTCTCCAGCTGTCAGAAAATAGTTCCTTTTCTCTCTTCACTGTGAGTGATGTCCTTTTTTGGACTAGCCAGTCAGATTTGATGTTTATGTTCCTGCTCCTCTTTTCTTCAGACCAGAGGCAGTCGCTGGGAAGTCTCAGACTTGCTCTTGGAAGTGCTTGGGAAGAGAAAGCAGACTCAGGCCAGGCAGCTATCAGAAGCTGTGGGCAGTATCACAAGCTTCATTCTTTCCCTTAGAAGAGTCCAACTGCTGTAAACAGCCTGTGATTTTTTTTTGCAACACTAGACTTTTTCTCACCTCTGAAGAACGCCTTTGACCCATAGTTTAAAGAGCTTCGTTGTACTTAGCTGATCTTTCTACAGATCTTGTCTGTTAAAGAGTATCCTTTTTATTCTTTTGGAGTTGCCATGATTTTCAGTCATTTAACTTCTAAATTTACAAAATGTATTTTGTTTCTTGTATGCAATGAAGATGCAGGGAGTTCTGTTCCTCTGGGAACAGCAGAGCTGTTTTAGGATCATTAGAAAGGTTTTTTGCCTAGATTGCTAATCTATGAATATTGGAGGGCACTTTTAAGAAAAGGCTTTAGAGATGACTGGTGGCCCGAGCACAAACAGCTTCGCAGCTGCATTGCTTTTGGTCTCAAACACAGGAGGTTAAATATGGAAACTTTGCATAATAATTGCTGACCATACTAATTGCATATATTATCACCAGCATAATACTGTGTAGCTGTGCATTTAGAAGCTCAAGATAGTTTTCTTGTTGCAGGCAAATTACAGTTTTCTCTCATGATGAACTGTTTTTGGTCATAGTGGCAGCAAGAGTGCTCTATAAAGAGGATTTGGGTATCTGATTGGAGCATATTTTTGCTTGGCTTTCAAGCCAGATATAATTTAGCCTGGTTTTCACATTTTAATTTGAATTTTTAGTTTCTTTTGTTTAAATTTGTACAGAATTAAGCATCAATGTGACTTTCACACTTTGGTGGAAGATCTAAAGATGGAACTGAAAGTTCTAAAAGAATTAAAGTGGAAGTTCTAAAGGCTATTTTAGAGATGCTTGAAATACTCTGAAATATTCAATGCAGGATTTGGTGCAAAGCAGCTAGAGATGTGGCTAGTTAAAACTGTGCTTAGGCACTAACACTGTTTTGGTGCATGTTTCCGCTTTGAGGTTTGTCGTAGATGGTAAGAGGGGCTGCCATAGTTTCTCAGTCCTTCTTCTAGTCTCATCTTCAGATGGACAGTAAATAGTCCGTGCAGATCTGTGGCTTACCTGCAGTCAACTATTTAACAGCTGAGCCTGAATTAATTCTAATTCTCATACTTCTACCCTTGTTGGCTTCCTCTTCCTTCTCCTCTGACTCTGGTTCTCAGTGTCAGAAAGCTCTTTGTCATCTTCCTTCGTGTATTTATTAAATAACTTTCAGCAAAGACATGAGTCTTGCAAAACAGCACATGATTATATTAGAATTTACCAGTTCAAGCATGACTTTTAAAAAGCCTATATGTAGACATGGGTAACTTTTAAAAGCCTTATCAACTTGAAACAGTTCAGCATTTCATCTTTTTTTTTTTTGGCTTGCTATTGAATTAAATATGCTTGAGTGTTTTTAATATTGGTAAATGATTTATCTGAATTTTGAAGTTCAAATATTTTCTTTCAAAATCAAAATTTGTCCAGCTTCAAAACTATTTGGTTCTGAAACAACTTATGAAAAGAAAAAAAGATATGGTTAAATAAGACAGTTTAATGCCAACTACACATAGGAAGATTTGTATAAGTCACCTTACCCACTTTCAGTAAGGGAGTGGGAGGGTATTCAGTGTTCACTTATCAGGAAAGCTGCACCAAGCTAAAAGTTTTAATCTGAAAGAAGCTAACATCTGCATTTGGTTTTGCTGTTTACTCCTTGCAAAATGTGCTCTGTTTTAGACTGCAACCTAGAATGAATTGCTCTCAACCAGCAGCTTCTAATTCAGGGGCGAAAGAGAGAATCTTTCCTTTAGGGAATGCCTCAACTTCACTTGGTAGCAAAGTCAATTTTGCATTATGTTTGAAAGCCCTATTTTGTTTTGCCCTTTTCTTTTAAAGGCTGCTAGCCTGTATCGATTAGAGGAGGAAAACCACGAGGCAGCTGCCCGCCTGGAGGAGGTGGTTTACCGCGGGGATATGCTGCTGGAGAAGATCCAGAGCGCGCTCGCCGACATCGCGCAGTCCCAGCTGAAGACGCGGAGCGGGACGCAGAGCCAGCCCCTTGCAGACTCCTAGCACCAGGGGGCAGCGCTCGGCAGCGAAACTGAACTTGGAAACTCGGACTCCTGGGGACTCCAGCCCTGCGTCTTGCTCCTGCGGGACTCTGAAGCGTGCTGGGCACTGCTCACAACCTCTTTTGCCAAAGCCCGAGCTCCAGCATGGAGTGAGAGTCACCTGCATTGCAGAATGGGTGTTTCTGTGCTCTAATTACACATCTTAATGTATATTTCCCTGACTTAAAATATTCTTTTTTTTTTGTTCATAAACATGTTTGGCTTTATTCTGGTTCGTCATCTTCAGAATACATAATTTGTAATATTTTTAAGAGTATAGTGTAATTCACCCATCTCTAATTTCAAACTTTTTTTTTTTTCTTTTGGAAGCTTAAGTTTGGCAACACTGCTAGAAAATGCTAGACAATCTGAGGGTGAGTGCAGTGCTGGTCACCTATTTTATTAACAGAAATTATAATTAAACAGTTTATATTTCTGCTTGACCATCTTGTCACTTCACTTACTCTGTCAGAGATGAGAAATCTGCAGAGCTTGCAGAGTAAGCAGATGCTAGGGGCATCTTTCTGAGAAAGTGAGATGTGCAGATACCTGATCTTACTGTTTCGTACTGTTTGCAACTCACAAGTGGTTCTTTAACTCCATTATTGCTGCTGACACACTTAGTGTCACTTGCTCCTGCTTTTTCCCTGCTTCTGCTGATGTTTTGCAGTCTCATGGCAAACGGTATTTCTAGGGCACACACTACTGGGGAAGCATTGGAAGAGTCTGGGAAGACCCAAGAGGAGGTATGTGGAGAGCAACTGGCAATGAGAAAACTGAAAATAATTTATTAAAAGATACCACTTTTCAGTGTAAGCAGTTGCTTTTAGTATCTGTTCTTGTGTAAGTAGTTGCTTACATGAAAGCTGTGATCAGAAGTCACACAAGGTGTAGTCTTCACTGTGACAGGTTTTTTGTTTTTCTTCACACTGAATAAATTTGTGCCCCTCACTCTAGGACTTTAGAAATACTGGCCTCTTCTGTATGAAAAATAAACCAGATGATTTGGGCTTTGGTACATGAGCTTGGAGTTGAACCTTTTGCTGCTAATTGTCTTCTGTATTTTTGAGATAGCTGTCTTGCATTATTGTAGGATGGTGTTTATTTCCACATAATGTATCTGTGCATTTCCTAATCAAAACCACCCATTTTTACATACTGGACATACTGTCATTACCATGAAAATTATATGACTTTTACTATTGCACAGAGGCAAGTAAGAGCAATTCAAATATGTCTGAAGCAATTCAGTCCTTAAGGGTTTGGATCTGGCCACTTACTATACTATCCTACAGCAAGAGTATAGGATGGCACAGAATATATCTTGTAGTCTTTTTTGAGGGTGAAGAATATAGTTCTTACATGTAATAAAAAATGCTAATATCTAAGTATTTAATCAAAAATATCTAATTAAATAATGGTGGTTAATAAAAACTACATCTCAGTAGACATAAATTTAGTCTGCTATTGTGAGGTGCTCATACTGTCCTTCACAGAAGGAAAAGCAGATGGGGTGGTAACCAGGCAGCACCGTGGCCCCCCCCTTCTGTAACATGATCTTTATTAAAAGAAAGGGGAGTAGGGGGGATGATTTCTGAAGTTGTGTAAATATCCCCATTTCCTGGGGAGCCTTGAAGACCCAAATTTTCATTTAAGTAAGTCTTGGGGTCTCTTCTTTCCAGGGGAAAAAATGCATCCAGTGTATCACAGATTTTTCTGTTCAAAACCACTGGACACAGAGAACTTTGGAAAGTTTAAGTTTTGTTTTGGACTCTAATTGGAAATTGAGACCTTTTGACTTGGGCCTTGTACACTGCTGGAAGAAGCACTAACTCATCATCATAAATCCCCAGGTACAGCTTAACAGCTGTGGCATCTCAAGCGTATTTTGTTAACTTGGGAACTTTCACTAGGGAAATGGTATATATCTTCAGTAACATTGCCCTTTTAATTTCTTATCTTTTTGTCTCTCAAAACTCTTGGAAGCATATGTGTTACTGCCGCCTAGTATTGCTTAACTGTACAAATGTTCTTACACTTGCTGTATATTTAAATCTACCAGCCCACTTTATATTAAAGTGTGTCCTGGCATGAGAGCTGATCAGATGCAGCAGTAAACCTTGACAGAGGTGCGAGCTCACCGGCGTGCGTGTGGTGCCTCAGGACTTTGCCAATTTAATAGGCAGTTTGTGATACAGTGAAAGCAAGTAATGCAATAAAGAAAGCCTTTCATTTTTTCCCTTGCGAAGTAGTACAGTAGTATAGAGTTAGATTCATGCACAGATTGTAGGGCTTGTAGCATCATGTCTGTATCTTTTAGAACTGTGGCTTTCAATTTTAGAAAAGGAGGTCTTGGTAAGGAAACAAAACTATTGAGCAAGATACAATGCACCAAAACATTTTATGTGGGACACGGAGTACTGCCCAGTGAACCAAGTGTGCTTTGAAGAAAGACAGCACAGAGCATGATGGAAAGTTCCACTGAAAACCAGTCTCAAGCCCTTCAAATGAGCAAGAGCACTTGAAGGTGAGAATCCATGCAGCCCACTGGCAAACGCTTTGGGATCCATGTTGGTGAACTGGAGCAGCTGATCCAAGTCCAGTGCTCTTCCCCATAAGCAACCATGCTGGGAGGAGAGGAGCACCTCAGCAGCTGCTCTCATTCTCAGAAACTAGAACAGGGAGACGTTTGTATGCTTGTTTTTAGAGATAGGGGGGAAAGTGCATTAGTAGTATTTTAGTTTTCTGCCTTTGTAATGACAGCCTCCTGGGCTGAGTTGAGAGGAGCAGAGCCGGTAGGTTGAAGGAAGAAGAGATGATCCTTCTGCTCAGCACTTGTTAGAGCATATCTGGGCACTATGTGCTGCTTGGGGTCTCCAAGAGGATAAATGTTGATTAGCTAGAGCAAGCTCAGCTGAAGGCCACCCAGACAGCTGGGGCTAGAACACTTGCGCTGGGGGCAGAGGCTAAGGGAGCCAGGCTTTGTAGCCCGAACAGGAGATGGATTCAGGGGGACCTAAAGGCACCCTCTCGGCACCCAACTGAAGGTCATGGACAGGACAGAGCCGAGCTCTTCACAGTGCTGCTTGGTGGGAGAATGAGAGACAATAGGCATAAAAGGAAAGCAGAGGTTAAGCCTGGACACAAGGAAGAAAAAGCTGTAAATCCCTGGAAATTTTTGAAATCTGATTGGGTGAAGTCCTGGGCAACTTGGTTTGACTTCATAGCTGACGCACCTTGAAGCAGAAGGTTGGACTCGAGACCTCCTGAAGTTTCTTCCAACCTGAATGATCCAGTGCAATCCTTTTCAACACTATGCATATTAATAGTTTCACAAAGAACAAGAAAGCATTCAGCGTGTTCTTGCTGTCTTTCTGCTTTTCTGAAAAGACCGGTCTAGAGGACAGAAAACTTCAAGTATCTAGTGTCAGCCTCATTTTTACTGATGGGATCTTGTGATGTAGGTCTGTGCTGGAAGGCCATCGAGTTCATCTCCTGCGCAGTGTGAAATTCCATGCGGTAGCGGCCCAAGTTTCCAATAGGTGCCCTTGGAGAGCGTGATATGCAAAATGCACATCCTACACTCACAGAAAATTGATCTGTCAGATGATGCTGACTCATTAGTAGACAAAGGCAGATGTCTCTAAGGAAAGTAATTGTATTTGTGTTTTATATAGCTTGTTATGTAGTCTTACGTAAGAAATAATTAAAGCCCTATTTTCAGCCACCTAGCCTGAGATGAGAGCAAAGTTTTTGCTTGATTTTTCTTTCAAAGCCATGTAAGAAAGTTTGAATTACTTTTATTAACTTACCAAAAAATGTTTATTGACTCATAGGACCCTTTTACCTCTAGCTCTTAGAACTATGCTCTAGCAGCAAAGGGAGTAAGAATCCAAAATTTGCAAGTGAGCTGTTACTTCATGCTCCAAACAGATCAGCCACCGTATTTTATGAATTTGCAATGAGTGCCATTCAAAGTGGGAATCATCTTCAGGATGTTTTGGTTTCATGTAGCTCCACCGTTATTATACAGTGTTTGTATACACACTTAGATTTCATGCTTATTTTTGTTTCTAGGAAAGCTTTGAAGGAAAGCTTGCTTCTTCGTGGTAGGCTAAACAAGCAGAGCAGGGACTTTATAATCTCACTGCTGCTGTGCGCGCCAGCACCTCGGCACACGCGAGCCCCGCTCTGAGCACAAAAGCGCTCTCTATTAGGCCGTTTAGGCTGTCACCATGTTTCTTCTCTATTTCTGTTTATAGCTAACATTCATGTAGCGTAGCACAATATTACAAACAGGCCTTCCCCCGAGTCTTTTAACTTGGTAGTTACTTACTATAAAAAAATCACCAGTAATGAGAAGGCTCCTAGACGTAGCCTCTTTAAACTTACACACTTCACTGAAAGCCTAAATGAATGAAGCCTGTGAAGTGGAAATTTGTTGCAGAGCAGGGACTGTGCAATTTGGCTGCAAAACATCCTCTCTCCACCCTGCCTACGTATAAAGAGAAGATCGAAATAGAAGCCCTCTTTGGGAAACAATGTACTGCTTTCTAGGGCTGTGTGGGAGAGCAGTTGACTACATATTAACTTTTCACAAGTGCTGGAGGAAAATCATAATTGTTTTCTCAAGTCATGGTCCAAGGGAGGGAGGCCACATTCATCCAAAAAAAAAAAAACCCTACAAGCTAAAAGCTCAGGAGAAAAGGGCTCTTGCACCAAGACTACGGTCTCCATTGTCTAAGATCATGGAGAAGGGGCTTCAGCAGGTACCTCTCGGATGTCATCTTCAAGTGAATGATGAAAGAAGCGCCAGTGCCAGCTTGATGCCTTGGAGGTTGCTGTCCATCAGGAAAAACAGGGGAAGGCAAGCTTTACTTCAGTGCTGCAGAAGAGAGACTTTAAAGGAAAATAGTCAGGATGGATGTCATACAATTGCACACAACATATCGAGGCGTACCACCCTGAAGGAAGTCAGTTGCCTCTCTTAC